TTTCGTTACGTAACGCGTAACGGTGCCAGTCTGTCTGGATTCCTTTTCTCTCCACTCTAACCCACAATACTAGCCATTTTTTGGACTCTTAATATGACTCAGTGTTCAGTGTGCGATCGACATATATTATTGACAGTGAGCATATAACCCAAAACTATCACCGCTTTTGTGAGTGATTATAGAAAATTTGATGAAACAAGAAGAATAGAATGCTCGTAACATTACAGAATCTCCCAAAGAAAGGTAAATTTGATAATATAATATAATACGATTTATCAATAACAAGCATTATGAAAATCTAACCATCAAGCACGTAGTATTCTTTCATAATGTGAAACGTCGTTTGAAAATGATGATACTAATTTTGTGTGTGTCGGGGGTCACGTCCAGAGTTGATAGCTTGCTTGAAACGTTTTTTTTCACATCCTTGAAAAACAACGCTTCAAACAAGCTATCATCAAGTAAACCCTGACATAAAATATAATACTGACACCATCAAGACACTCACCTATATCGGAAAAAATCAGGTAAAATGAAATATTAACATAGTATATTAGACTGGTCACTCTTTGAATAGACATATAAAAAACAACAAGTCGCAGATAGATAAGGACAACAGATCAGGTGTCCATAAACTAACAGTCGGATCATGCTCGAAATTGTATGTAGGAAGAACTTCAAGACATTTCAGAACGAGTATGTCTGAACATAAAAAAAGTTTTGAACTAAAGAAGACCAATTCCACCTATGCGAGACAGATTTTGGAGAACAATCACGATTTCAACACTATGTACGACACACTCCATGTAGGACCTAAGGAACAGAAGTTGAACCTGCTGTAGTCTCTGGAAATAAGTGGTCAACCTTCTGTTGGTTCAACAGGAACGACCAACAGAAGGTTGACCACTCTCCATTCATGATACCAATATAATCAGCAAATTTTTTCATTGTTGAGGGTCAATTTCACGTTATGAAAGAAACTGCTGATTTCAATCATGCAACCCGGGTCCAAGATCGAGCTCTGAGGTGGACCTGTGTCAATTTGAGTATTGAAAAATTGACAGAATTAGACTGCATTTTCATGACTTAGAAAATAGATTACAATTTCAGGAAGGAAAAGGTTCTGGCTTCCTAATTCTCCATATTTATAGAAAAAAAGGGTCGGACTCTTCCAAAGAAAGAAAGAAAGCAAATAATTATAAAATGAATTGAGTGCTTCTTCTTGTAATGTTGTCCATATTGGTGCTGAAGAGCAAGTGGCTTATTCCGAAACATTGGATATCCACCATTGAAGATGACAGTGTTCCATGTAAGTGAAATTCTACCTCTTTCATTTGCTATATTGTGTAGCAATCCTGTGAATGATATCTGATTCAATTCCATAACGGATATTTGCAGTACAAACTGAATAGGAAGAGGGGTTTTTATATAATTCAATGTTCACATGTAGTTGTCTCGAAAGTTTTTTGTTTCGTGTTATTCAATGTTTATCTGAAAGTAGTCATTTCGAAAGGACTTGTCATTCCAGTTTGTGTCTGAAAGTTACTTCTTCGCATCATCTACATGTCTTTGTGAGGAGTTCGCTTTGAAATTTGAAATTTTCCATTTCTACCAACACTTTGACTGGCCTATTATTACGAGAAGTCTCTCATACCTTATCTGAAGATTGCTAATATTCATAGTTGAAACTCTTATAGTTATCAATAGATAAATAATGAAAGGGTAGCATTTAAATGGAATGATACGATATGTATAATGGACAAGTTATAATGGATTTTCATCAAGTAACGGTCAGTTCTATCATATTTTCTATTTGAATAATTCTGTTGTAAACTCACTCAGGGCACTTCAGAATTCTGCTATTCACTCATTGATATATCGACAAATTCCTCTATATTATGGAACGTTCAGTAACAATATATAATTTAACATCCTTTTCTTCAATTGAGAGTTATGTAATAATGTTTCTTGTGTTTTGTATTCTATTTTGTGAACGGCAATGGTAGATCTTGTTGGTTTCACTACTAATTTTGAGTCAGTTTGTCAATTTGACAGATCTGCTAACTTTACTTCCGTCATTTCAAGGTAGCATTGGATGGTTCTGAGTCTGGCTTGGGTTTGGTGACTCCAGCATTAACAGTTCCGTGACAGACAGAACAATCCATATATTGAAATTATATATTGATATTATGTATCATCTGTAGGTTCTTCGTAGTTTTACTTGGGCTGCAGCAAAAAAATATATCTACGAACTGTCTCCAAAAAAACAGAAAATCCATATTTATTTAAAGAGATCTATCTGTTATCAGTGACTACCTGATTTTTCGTAATTGTTGTTACATTCTTTTCACATTATTTTTTCTCAAAGCCCACTTGAACTAAAATTATAAAATGGGTTCTCTATTGGATTTGCTAATCTGTTCGTAACCCCTATATTGGTAAATAAATAAATATGTTTTCCATTTCTGTTGAAATCTCCAATATAAACAGGTTTCTTAGAGATAGGAAAAGAGTTCAAATTCACTATGTAATGTCTCATAATTTGTTTTATATCATCATCGTATAGTATTTTCAATACCAATTGGAACAGCACAGAGAAGAAATTCCCGCCTCGACATAGGCGTCGGCATATTTTTTTTCAGTGGTAGTTTTTCAGTTACTTATTCTTACAATCATAGCAATTGATCACCCCATGAAAAAGTTATTTCAACTGAATTTTTCCACCATGGTCTTATAAAAAAATCAAAAAAAGTAATACATCTTCACAACTACCTACTGCTAAATCATATGGCACAGGACATCCTAATGACCTACTCACAGTTGCTCCTGAACGGAACTGGATATGGATTGGTGGACTAGACCAGTGTACTACCATCGATAATGTTGAGGAATATGTAAAAAAAGTCTTTCCTGATAATAACGTTGATTATTTTGACCTCAAATCCAAGTATAAAAAAATGCTTCAAAATAGGGAGGTTTGATCTGTCAATGGTTGAACTCCTGGACCCCAATAAATGTCCCAACAAATTACACATTCGTCCCTTTCAACACCAGTGATCATCAATATGCCCCAAATAGTATCTCTGATACTGGTTCTTCTGGTTATTCGAAACCTGAATTAAATGTAAAAAAGAACATAAACAATTTCAAAATACTTCATCTAAATGCTCAAACAAAATTAATAAACCGGAAGTTCTTTTATCGGAAGAGGATCCGGACCTCATTAGTATTGTTGAGCACTGGTGTGATACCGAGAATATTGAATTTATGTCCATACCTGGCTATAGTCTGATATCTGAATTTTGTCGTATTACTCATATACATGGGGGAACTGCCATCTTTGTTAAATCATCATTTCTAGCTCAGTGTCTTGATTTAAAACAGTTTAAAACAGTGAAGGCAGTGGGATAAAACTAACTGTACAAGGTAAAAAGATTTGTATATTAAGCATTTATAGATCTCCTAATGGTAACTATGACTATGATATTTTCGTATGTGGTGATTTTAATGTTGATTACCATAAAAATACTTTGGAAGAGTCACAGCTAGATGACTTATTAGCTAATCACAACTTGCATGTTTCATCCTTGGCACCCACTCGAGGTTTTTACTAATCGTTTAGGGATAACATCATCTAGCAAACTCGACTATGTACTAACAAATGTGGAGGAGGATTGTTGTAAATATAATGTCTATGAGGGGAACTTCGGTGATAACAAAATATTTTCTCTTATTTATAGTATGCCTTTGGAGAGTAAAATAATTTTACCATCTCACTATACTTACAGAGATATCTCAGAACATAACTTAAAACAATTGTCTTTGACATTGTCAATTACCAGCTTTGACACCATATATCATTTAAATGATGTGGATGATACTTTTCAGGAATTTATGAACATTATCACAAGTATCTTAAATGACTGTTGTCCTATAAAAAGGCACAAAACAATATCTGACAAAAAATCTAACTGGGTAACTCCAGAAGTCAGACAAGCTAGCCGTAATCTAAAAAATACCCATTGGCTGTGCAAAAACATAGGCAACTTAGACTCGCACGCTGCTTATAAAAGAGCTAAGAAAGACTACGAATTACTACTCAAGAAAGCTAAATTGGATTTTCATGCAAATCTAATAAAGAACTCGAACAATAAAAACAAAACAGTCTGGAACCTAGTTAACAACGAAATGGATAGAGGGAAAAAACAATTTGACATCATTCTCAACCATGGAAATGATTTGATCACTGATCAAAAAAGGGTGGCTAATACTTTCGGTGATTACTTCTTATCAGTAGTAGAAGATAACTTACAAAAACATTTAGGTAGCAATAGATCATCTAAATGCACAATTTCCAACATTTTAACAAACACATTCTTCTTTGCGCCAGTAACTGAAGACGAAGTTATCGATATAATAAATGGTTTAAAAAATAAAAAAAGCACAGGCCACGACAATATCTCAGTAAGAATCATAAAAGAAAATGCAGTATTGATCTCTAAGCATCTAGCTCACCTGTTCAATCAGTCTATCACCACCGGCAAATTTCCATCACTCTTGAAGACGGCCATTATTATGCCCATTCACAAAAGCAAAGGAACTTTTTAATCTAGGATTTAGGGGTGTATTTCTGCAATGGCTCAAACATTTTCTTTCAGACCGTACAATGTTGGTAAAAATAAAAGATACACTATCTGATCCTCAACCAATCAGTTCAGGAGTTCCTTTCTCATATCAAACTTCTCATTGAGCAGTAACTTCCTGCATGAATTGTAAATAAATTATTAATTATTTCAAATAGTAATCAAGGGCATGATTTATGTGATGAGGTACATTGTGAAAGTATTTCATGTCAGACATAAACACATCAAGTTTCCAGTAAATATTTCATATAATTATTCACTGATGGTGACAAATTGGATGGATGCAACCATCGAGGAAACACTTGTTGCTGTTCAGGTTTTCTGGTACTCAGAAAAATGATGATAAAAACAATTCACTATGAATTACACAATTTAATGAACAAGACTACCACATCATGTTTCATATCGGAGACATAAACTCACACCAAATTATCTTGAAGATCTTTTGGACATTGCTTCTCCAACATCTTGTCAATGAAACTATTCCAATCGTTCTCCCATTTCCCAAAGGCTGCAACTTTTTCCTCTTCATTCAACGTACTGAACTCTATCGAATTCTTGGCCAGTTGTTTCAGGAACCTCAGATCGCTTTCCCTGCTGGTCATTCCCATGAACGCATAGTACCAGTCGTAGCTCAGACCTTTCGCCCCCCAGAACGAGGGGTCATCCGGAGCCACCACCACGGGAAAATTGTTCGCTATGAGTAACGCTCCGGGGTGGTTCCTGATGTCATCTACCAGCTTCAGAACTTGGTTGGAGATGGGACATATCTCCACAGCTATGTTTTTTTCTTTGATCATCTTCATGGCAAGAGGATGCTTCAGTAGAGCGTAACCGTGTCCTATTCTGGTAGTGTTCAGTAAAATGGCGTCAAAAAGGTTGAAATCAGTGGATTCCCCGTACCAGTTGGTCTCGCCAGCGTGAAAGAAGAAGTTTGCTCCGTATTTGAGCTTCATTTCTTTCAGTTGTGAAACGAATGAACTCAAAGGCATGCCTGAAAATAAAATATGAATTTCAGATTCCTAAACTGGCTGTACACAATACCAGAAACAGATTATAGGGGCTGACATCGAAAAGTAACGAGTAGGTCGGAGCGTGGAAGCAAGTAATGCAACGTGAAGTTTCCGTCATCCTCATATTTTTTATTTTGTTCATAACAAAGCTACAGCTTTAGAACATGTCACAAAATACCATCAAATTAACATATGCCAGAAGTGAAATATAAAATCTTCAGAAGATACAGTGCAATAAAAATAATAATACAGTACATACATACAATCGTGAAAGGCATCTTTGCTCTATGGTCCAGGGAATGAATGGAAAAAGTCATCAATACCATATAGGGGATTTTCCGTAAGTGATGTCTTTGAATTTACTATAGTTCAGAG